TAATTTAATAAATTTATTATATTTTCCTTATTTAATATATACTTTTTAATATTCATTGATGCCTACTTTTATGATTTCAATAAGAAAAACTGCTATATGTAGCTTAAATAAAAAAATTACAAATTCCCCTAAATGTCACAAACTTTTGGCCCGATTAGGTATACCATTCCTCCTTAAATGAGTCGAAAAAAGTCACAATTTTCTTAATTTCCCTGACAAAAAATTTTTTCCTGACATTTCCCTGACTTTACTGGCATTCTTGCTTTGAAATATGTTCAAAAATAATCTTTTTTATTTTTTAACATACAGGAGTAAAAAAACTTATTTTTTTAATTTGCAATATCCACGTGGACAATTGTATAGGGGGGCAGGTCAAAAATTGGTGAAAAATTGTCCACGTGGTTTATGGACGGCCCCATAGATCAATATTGTAGGGCGACTTGTCCTCAACAACTTTCAATAAAAAAGTTTCTGATATTTTCGCGTAAAATACATGTTTTGTCCTTTTTTAAAAATTTTGTTCTTTTAACATTTAGCCCCATGCTGGGACTAAATGTTAAATGTTAAATTCTATTTCTAGCTTACTAAAACTACTTTCTGATAGGTGTTAAGTAGTAGGTAAGTTAAAGTATGCGTATAACAGGTAACACGCTTTAAAACAGTTTATAGAGTTAATAAATTAAAATTTCAAAATAAAAAAAAATTATATGTTTATTTCACGTGAGCGGTCTCGTTTTTTGACTGTGTAGTTGCCTAACGTCAAATAAATAATTTTTAAACATATAAACCTGAAAAACACGAAAAATGTAAAAAAAAAAACATGGAAAAAATACACTTAACATTTAGACCCAAAATCTAACAAAAAATATTTAGCAAATACCTTTAGGTATATCTTCAGGGGACCCGAATAGGCTAAAATACTTTTCGCGGTGAGAATAAATCCAAAAAATATACTTAAAAGTTGGAATTTTCTTTGACGTAAAAATTTACAAATGTAGGGTCAAAACACACTTATCATATTATGGACACCACAAAAATGAACAGAATGTCACATAACTTCGGATATTTATTTAGAGTGATAAGACCCTTCTATAATCAAAATTGTTATTCTCTAACTATTTCCGTTCGAAAGATAATAAATTTTAACTGTTTTGACTGTTTAACATTTGGCTCCAGTCTACCCTACATTTTAATTAATTATTAAAAATAATGGATTTACATATAGAAGAATTTTAGTTAAAAACGTTAAAAAGAATTGAATTTTGGAGGAATTTACAAATGATTGCAGAAATCCAATTATTTTCAAAAGTAATAAAATTCTTTGTAGAAATTCAATAATGTTTAAAAATTTAAAAAAATTCTCATCAAAATTTCAATTATCTTTATAAATAATAAATTTCTTCTCCGAACTTAAATTATTTTCAAAATTTTTATTAAAATTTTAAGCAAACATTTAATTATTTTCATAAATAATTAAAATTTCACAGGAATTCAATTTTTTATAAATTTCTTCGCAATAATTCCATTATTTTCATAAATAATAAAAAATTTTAAAGATTCAATTATTTACATAAATAATAAAAATATTTTTAGGAATTCAATTATTTTCATTAATTATAAAAGTAATTGCAGAATTGCAATTATTTTTAATCCTACAATATTTTTTTTTAACTAATTTTCTAAAAAAATGTAATTATGCTTAAAAATTTTATTAAAATTCGTCGAAAGAATCCAATTATTTGAGAATTTGTTGATATTTAAATAATTGAATTCGTGTAAAATTTTGTGATAAAAATAGATTTCAAAATGAATTTTAGTTTAAATTTTAGATAATAATTGAATTATATTAGAAGCATTATAGCGTGAATTTTTAGAAATAATTGAATTTTGAAAAGGTTTCAAATTAAAATCTTTGAAAATTTGAATTTTTCATACTTTTAACTAACAATTCTGTAGAATTAATTTTTTTGAAAAAGTTTAATTGAATTTTTTTTGAGATTATTTGAAGATTTTTTTTACTAATATATATTTAATTGAATGCTAAACAATTAATTCTTATTAATTATTTAATTAATACTTTTTAAAAAACTAACATTCAGATTTTCTCAACAAATTATAATAAAGAATTAGAAATTTTATTAAAAAAAATACTATGTAAAAATTTTATAAAAAATAATGTGATTGACAAATAATTATAATTATGAAAATTGTTTCCCATTATTTAACATCTAAAACTCTTAAAATTCCCAATCTTATTTTCAATTAAAAATTGTGATTAACAAATGAAATTTATAAAAAAAATTTTCCTTTAATTTAAAAAAAATTTTTATTTACGTTAAAAATTGTAATTAAAAAATATAAATGGTCCAAATTTTGTATAAAAATTGTGAAAGTTTTATTAAAAAAAATTGTGATTAAAAAATATAAGTGGTTCAAAAATGGTTTTGTTTTTCTTTAAAAGAAGAAATTAAAAGCGTAATAGAGGTAAAAAAAGGTTTTCTATTTTTTTTCTTTACTTTAAAAACGTTTCTGACTTATAAATTTTGTAAACGTAAATTTAAAAAAATGGATAAATGGTGGATTCCACGTTAGTTCAACACACTTATTTTCATGACTTGTTGAGATTTGGCTGTAATTTTGTAAATTTATTACTTTTATAGTGATAAACAACTCCACCAAATATTTTTTCAAAATTTTAAAAATTACCAAAAATATGGCATTTTCAAAATTTTTGTCTTTTTTTTTTAAAGTGCTATAACTTTGGTTCTAATTAACCGATTTTGGATTTTAAAAAAAGGATTTCTTTGGTTTTAAGTATATTTCAAGTTAAAATTAATATAAAAAAAAAAAAATTAAAAAAAATTTTTTTTTTGAAATTTTGAAAAATTAAAAATCCGTTTTTGAAAAAACATCATCTTTGATTTTTTTCAAAATTTTACTAAATGTTAGGGCAAATGTGCTTTACATGTCCTGTAAATTTCATCTTGGGATCTCAAAGGGATTCGGAGTAAAAAAATAAAACGTAACCACAAATTACGAACATATGGGGCAAAATTCCTCAACTGCCCAGGTAAAAAAATGAATTTTCTCTAAACTTTGCTAAAATGTTACTATTATTAGTAGAAGTGTAAATATTAATTTTTTTTTAATTTAATAAAATATTTTTTGAGTTATGGAGTTTCAAAACTTTGATTTTTTTGAAAATATCTTTTTTTCGATTTAATATATTGATAAGTAAAATTAATGAAATTTAAAGTATATGAGTAGTGATTTTTAAAGGGGTTTTCACGGGCTATAAGCTGGTGATGAAAAAAAAGTTGTTTTCTGTCAATTTGACCTTGAAATTCAAGGTCAAATTCTTAATTTCAATATACAGTAGAACCCGGTTAATACGATCCCGTTTAATACGATTTCCCGCTTAAGACGCTCATTTATGGTGGTCCCTGCAATTAAAGACATACATTTTATATCCCGCCTAATACGTTTTCCCACATAAGACGCATTCTTAGTGCGGTCCCTACAGAATCGTATTTAACCAAGTTCTACTGTATCTCAAAATCGGTGTTTTTTATTTTTTTGTAACCTATCCCAATCGAAAGCTTACCTTTTTTCATATAAGCCATGTAAAAATCAGCGTGGGACCATGGAACTTTTTGAAGAAATTAATTATAAATCATCATCATTTATATGTAAAATAATGATAAATTATTATTTTCCTCAAAAATTCACGTGGTCCCACTCTGATTTTTACATGGCTCATAGAAAAAAGGTCACCAGCTTATAGCCCGTGAAAACCCCTTTAAAAATCACTATTCATACTTTAAATTTGATTAATTTTACTTATCAATATATTAAATCGAAAAAAAGATATTTTCAAAAAAATCAAAATTTTGAAACTCCATAACTCAAAAAATATTTTATCAAATTCAAAAAAAATTAATATTTACACTTCTACTAATAATAGTAACATTTTAGCAAAGTTTAGAGAAAATTCATTTCTTTACCTGGGCAGTTGAGGAATTTTGCCCCATATGTTCGTAATTTGTGGTTACTAGAGATGTGCAAGAAGCTCGAAGCTCGAGGCTCGATAGAGCTTTTTCGAGCTTTTCATTTTTCGAGCCGAGCCAAGCCGATCCTAATCAGTTCGAGCCGAGCCGAGCTGTGCAAAAAGCTCGAATAATTTCGAGCACTAGAATTTTCTCAAGTACTCGAACGTTTCGAGTACTCGAATTTTTTCGAGCTCTCAAGTAAATTCGAGTTTTAGAGGAAAATCATATAATTTTTGCATATATTATAATTAGCAAATTGAAATACACTTTGAAATTGAAGATTTATTGACTTTATTGATTCGGTAATTCGCATAATTTCGAAATTTTCTACTTATTAATAGTTTTTTTGTCATTTCGAGTACTCGACTTCACTCGAGTACTCGATACATCGAGCCGACTTGGGCTCGGCTTGGCTCGAAAAAATTTCGGCTCGGCTCTGCTCGGAAATTCGAGCTTTTTGGACATCTCTAGTGGTTACGTTTTATTTTTTTACTCCGAATCCCTTTGAGATCCCAAGATGAAACTTACAGGACATGTAAAGCACATTTGCCCTAACATTTAGTAAAATTTTGAAAAAATCGAAGATGATGTTTTTTCAAAAACGGATTTTTAATTTTTCAAAATTTCAAAAAAAAAAAAAAATTTTGAATTTTTTTTTATATTAGTTTTAACTTAAAATATACTTCAAACCAAAGAAATCCTTTTTTTAAAATTCAAAATCGGTTAATTAGAACCAAAGTTATAGCACTTTCAAAAAAAGACAAAAATTTTGAAAATGCCATATTTTTGGTAATTTTCAAAATTTTGAAAAAATATTTAGTGGAGTTGTTTATCACTATAAAAGTAATAAATTTACAAAAGTACAGCCAAATCCCAACAAGTCATGAAAATAAGTGTGTTGAACTGACGTGGAATCCACCAAATGTAAATTTACAAACATTGACACATTACCTTTTCACCAACATTTAGAACTAGAGGATCATCAGGCCTATGAAGACCCAGACTGATAGGTACGAATGATATGAGACCAGCTAATAGCCACACTATGAAAATGCAGAATACTGCTTTTTTCCTCGTCACCCAGCGACCATATCTAGAGAAGAAAAATTTAATTATTGGTAAAACACTTAATATTCATATTCAATTAGAAATTTTTTTTTAATATCGTTCAATTGAATTAATCTTCCATTAATTTAAATTCGATTCTCGATTTTCATATTAAATTAGAATTTAAAATTCCCCTTTTTCACTAATAAAATATCAATTTAATTTTATAATTCAAATGGAAAGGAGACTGATTAATTAATTTAGCTTTCTTTTAATTAAAAAAAATAATAATCACAAAGAAAAATCATACTTTGAAAAATTTAATTAAATAAGAAAATTGAAGTAAAATAATAGTTCAATGTGATTAGCAAAAAATATCTGAAAATAAAGTAAAAGCAAATATTAAATAAATATTTAAAATAAGTAAAATAAATATGAAATTATATAATGAAGTAAATAAAAACATGATATAATTATTTGTAAGTAGAATGAAATTTAAAATTAATTAAAAGAAATTTAAATTATTTGCAATTAAAATGGTGTTAAAATGAAATTAAGATGAAATTAGAATGAAATTGTTAATTAATGAATGTAGTTAAAATAATAAAAATTAGATAATCATAAATTAATGTTAAAAAGTAGAAATAATTATTGAAATTAAATACCTTTTTTTAATAGATTTTTTATAAATCTATATATATATTGAAATTTGACAAAATCTGGTAACACGATTGAAATTCAAATATTTTTTTGAAAGACACACCCTTTAGTTAATTTTTGTTGTATTCTTTTTATATTTATGTCTTTCGAACATGCAAATGCAATTTTCTTGTACATTTTTCAAGTGTGTTTTACTCAGTGATTTACATTGTTTGTACTTTTTATTTTTTACTTTTACTTTTTTTCCTACATATAATTGCTCAGCTTTATGTAAATTTCATTTTTGTTCGACCTGAATCCTACCTCTGGATTACAATTGGCTGCTATATTTTCTCTGAAAAAAGCATTCTTGAATGTGTGTTAAAATAAATTTTAACTGTGAGATTTAGAAAATTTAAAGAAATAACAATAAATAGATGTATGGTAAAAAATAAAGAGTGATTATAAAAAAAATTAATTTTTATTAAATATTAATTGATAGAAAATTTATTTCAATTTATTATTAATTCATAAAAAATTAATTTTGGTTTATTATTAATTGATAGAAAATGAATTGCAACATTTTTTATTTAAAAACAAAAGTGATTAACAAATTTTTATTTAAGAAAACAAAAGTTAATTAACAAATATTTTATTCCTATTTATTATTATTTATTGAAAAAAAATTATTCCGAAAATTTGGTTTTTGTGATAGAAAAAAAGGAATTGAAAAATTCCGATATTAGGGCTCGAACTAGGTCCACAAATTACATAAAGGTTTGTTTTAGAATCCATGCTTTACACAATCTGTGATGTCATAATGTTACAGTCTGTAGTAGTCTTTACAACAGGACTATTGTAAAATAAGGTGACCGCGGCTGCCTTGCCTTCTTATTTTACTATAGTTCTTCGTAAAGACTACTATTGCTATATTTCTGATTACAAATGACTGTTGTAAAGTTAAAAAAGAAAATTTTCAACTAAAATAAAATTTTTTTCTAATTCATGACTTCTAATCATATATTGCACATTAATTTCACTCTTCCTAGACCACCCACTTCAAGATTAATTATATTATTAAACTAGACAATTTCACTAAACCCTAAGTACATAAATCTAACTTAAATACTAAACGCATAACATAATAACGATCGCTATTTACACATATTTATACATGACTTAAACTTCCTTATATACTAACTGCTATGAAAGTTCACCGCTTGCGAGAAAGACTTATACACTTTAAATGTAAAAAAATCACTTCGTTCTCAATAATTAATACAATTATTGTTTATTGTTAGTCTTTAATATTGTAAGGTCTATTTTTTATTACATTTCCATAGTGAAAATTTTTTTTTCTAATACACGCACCGAAGGTACAAGATTTCTTGCCTGTATAAATTGTTATATAATTTACACAACTTACGTAAGTTACATAACTTACGCAAGTTACGTAAATAACAAAATTAAGTTACACAAATAAGTAAGGAGGCATTTCACGTCAGAAATATCACGATTTGCAAAGGGTATGCCGATTTTCGCAAAACTTCGTGGGATTATAGTTCTATATAAGAGACTTCTTTCCCCCAAATTTAAAAAAAAAAATTCAAAATTGTTGAAGATACGCCATTTTGAATTTTAATATTAATTTTATAAAATTTTGAATTTCTCGAAATATTGTTTATGGATTTTTATGAAATTTACACATTTTTCAGGTAAAAGTATGTACTTTAAAATGCAAATAAAGTTAATAAAAGAAAATTAATTTTTAAATAAAAAAATTATAAAAAAATGTTTTAAACAATTTTTTGTTTATTTACTCCTCTCTGAGAAAAATGTTATTAACATATTTGGATTCCTTATGAATTCACCTTTAATTTTATAAAAAAAAATTGATGGAGACTCAACTGGGTCCGGAGATATTGAAGTATTTGTAAAAAAAAGCGTCGCCGCGCCATAGCACCATACTGCACAAGTCGCGCAGTACGTTACCGCAGTCGTGCATTGCTGCTGTAACTATGACTATTTTTTACAAAAAATTCAATATCTCCGGAACCAATTGAGTCTCCATCAATTTTTTTTTATGAAATTAAAGGTGAATTCATAAGGAATCCAAATGTGTTAATAACATTTTTCTCAGAGAGGAGTAAATAAACAAAAAATTGTTTAAAAAATTTTTTTTTAATTTTTTTATTCAAAAATTAATTTTTTTTTATTAACTTTATTTGCATTTTAAAGTACATACTTTTACCTGAAAAATGTGTAAATTTCATAAAAATCCATAAACAATATTCCGAGATATTCAAAATTTTATAAAATTAATATTAAAATTCAAAATGGCGTATCTTCAACAATTTTGAATTTTTTTTTAAAAATTATTAATAATTAATAATTTTATAATAATTAATAATAATAATAATATTATTAATTATATTATTAATAATAATTAATAATGAAGTAATAGCTTTCACTATACTTCAGGAGTAACAACACTCTTGAGGCAGACATAGAGGCTAAATGTTGATAATTTGTTTTGGAAAAATGAAAAAAGAAATATGATTTCTTTTTGGAAGGTTTGTTAAATACATATTGAAATATAAAAAAATTTATTTAAAATTTTATAACAAAATGTCGGCGATAAATTTCATAGTCAAAATCGACTATTTTCTTATGACCAAAATGCGAGCCAAAATGTCAGCATAATTTTTTTTTAAAGTTTAAGTCCTGAAACAGAAAGCAAAGAAATTTAATGATATATAATATAAACTTTGGTAGCACATATGGGATTTTTTATATTAATTCTTGTAAAAATTGCGCACTTTTTGAGTAAAATAATCGATTTTTTGCCAAAAAATAAACAGTAAATTCTTTATAAAATATAAAGTTTACATTGTGATTTTTTAACTTGAAAGTTGAAAAATCTATATGTACTTCCAAATTTTATAGTAAACAGATTATAAAATTTCTTTGTTTTTTGTTCTAGGACTTAAACTTTTCAAAAAAGTATTCTGGCCGTAAAAAATAGTCGATTTTGAACATAAAAATTTACCGCCGTCATTTTGTTATATAATGTAAACAAAAAGTTTTTTTCATATTTCAATAAGTATTTAATAAACCTTTCAAAAAGAAATCCTATTCCATTTTTTATTTTCTCAAAACAATTCATCAAATATATAGGTCTCTTTTTCTGCCTCTAGAGTGTGTAACCCTTTAAAAAAAGTAGCCAAATTTTTCATGTTTCATATTTTTGGCATTAAACAAAATAAAAAATAAAACATTAATCTTTTGAAACATAAAAATAACTTTATCTAAAGTTTAAAAGCAAAAATTAACAATTCTGACAAACATAAAATAAAACAAAATATGAACGCAGAATAAAAATGTTTTCTGGTTCAATAAATCATTTTTAAGTTACGTTAATATGTCAAAACGAAAGTCAATTTACTTGTCATTCATTATTTTTAACAAATAAAATCTAATCTGTAACTTTAAATATGATTTACTTCACTCATTTCATAAAGTATGCACAATATTGAAACGAGGAGAAAAGTAACAACGTGTTACTTTCCTCCTCACTCTATTTTTCAAGAAAAAAGTTAAAATTACAGAAAAGTATTACACGTAATTTAAAAATACACTGTTACAACTTAAAGACAGATAATTAAGCTTCAAAAAAACGAAACGCACATTTTATAAAACTGTGTAATTAAAAAAATATGAGGTTTTGAAAATTTAAACGAAAACTTACTTTTGACGTATTTTTGTAACGTCATATCACTAGCGGACCTAACCTAACCGGAAATGCTCTTGCACACTATGGAGAAGTTGTGGGGGGCACTACAGATTAAAAAAATTTAACTTTGTATATCGGCTAATTTGTTTAAAAGCTATAAGCGTTGTTACTTTCCTCCTCGGTCTCCCCTATGACTTATTATTGATAAACTATATGAGTTCTATAAACAATAAATATTGGTTTAATAAATAATGAATATATACAGTAAAAAGTAAATCTTAATTTAAGAGCTGCCTTAAATTCAACACTGTCTGCTATAATGTTAAAGGATACGAAAAACGTGCGTAAATTCAACATTGACTGTCTTAAAAATGTTGCATCTTAATTTAAGGCAGCTTTTGTGCCTTAAAATAAGATTTTCTTTTTACTGTGTAGGTTTCATGAATTACAACTACAGATTTAAATAATGTTATATTTTATTAAGAGCAAGTGAAATGTAGTTACAATTTTGGTTTTAACAAGTCATAAATTTTGTTATTGTTAAAATATAATACGTGACATTATTTTATTCTAAATTTTAAATTTAAAACTAAGTGAGCGGCTTTACCCCGAGTGTATTCCTCACATTTCAGAATAAATTTAATTAAATCTTTTTGAAATCAAACAAAACTATA